AATAATTCATTGTCTTCCCTTGGCTTCCTGGGCTTGTTGGAAGTAAATGTCAGGGAGATTGACGGTCAGGCCCAACAGTGTTAGAGTTTCGGGATTTGCCTAAATTCTCAAGTTGGCGTGACGGATTGAGCTGCAGAGTGAGGATGCTGGCTTTATCCCTGGTCTCCAGCATCATGAAATGTGGATGCCCCTAAATCCGTGTTGGCTTTCTTGGTGTGTGAGAAACTTCCAAGTGAAGAAATCACGGGAGGAGTGCTGTAAGGAAAAGAGCAGGTGTGCGGTCAGGAATCACATGGTGTGGCGGCCGACCGGTTGGGAAGGTAATAGTTGCTTCAGGGAGATCGTCCAAGTCAAGAGTTTTAATGAGGATGGCCATAATAATAAGCAGTTGCCATTTATTGATCACCTTCTAAGTACTATGCTCAGCATTTTAATGGATGGCTTTTAATGATAGGGACTATAAAACAGACAGCTCTGTGTTTCTTTTTCATACGAGAGACGGCAGCTCACGGGGGGCGGATTTAACTCCGGACGTCTGGTCTCCTGGTCTTGCAGCTGGTGTTCTCTGCACTGAAGTACTGCCTCTTTCCACGTGTCCAGAGCCGACCTGAGGGCCACATGGCCCAGCGGGAAGAGCCGGGCAGGGGAGAGGGAAACCCGGATCCTGGCTCTGTGAGCTCAGCAGTAGCTTCTGGAAAACATGCCAACCCCTTTGAACCTTCGAGTCCCTTATTTCCTTTCCTGTTGAGGAAATTACATTTGCAGCATCCATCTCTGAAGGTTCTTATGGGGGTAAAATGAGATAAGAACTGGGAAAGGGCCTTGCGCACTTCAGGGATGTACAAATGAAGGGCTTATGTTACTAGATTTTTAGTCACCTGGAGCTATTTTTTTCATGGTGCTCATGTTGTCTTTTGATTGAATTAAAAAACCTTTGGCTGATTCTTCATGTCCCTTGCCAGTTTTGGCCTTGGATCTGCAAGGACGATTCTCTGACTGTGAGGAAGTTGTCCCCAAACTATGGCGTTGGGGCAGGGCTCAACGGTTGCATGGTGGCTCGCCTCTTTCTTCCTTTTGGAAACTGTGGACGCAGGAAATGGCTTCTTTTCCTGCCATCAAACCACGTGTATTTACTTATTAAATGTCTCCTGCATCTCCAGCTCTGTTTGCCATCCTTGGGCTCTGGGAATTCACCCTCAGGGTGTGTAACAGGTGGGGAAAGAGGGCCTCGTGGAGGAGGACCTGAGGGTTTGAAGGGGGGCCTGGGGTCTGACTGGGGTGCAGGAGGTGGGCACAGATGGTGGGCACACATAAAAAGACTGGGATTATCTGTGCGAATTTAGGGAGGTCTGGAACATTGCTGAGCACTTAAGAGAGAGCACAGCTGTGCCTGTGTGTGCATGTTGAGCCACGTGAGGAAGGACCTAGAAAGCCGGGTCTGAGTGTTGTGAACGATGGAATGTTCTAGAGCAAGGTAGTGAGACACGAGGAGGACCGGAGTAGGAGGCTGTGGTCTGGGGGCCATGTGTAGGGATCTGGGTGGCAAAGAACGGAGAGGGGGTTTAGTGGGCAGATGTCTTTAGGACAAATCAGAGTTCCCGGACAGACGGAACCAGGGAATTCACGGAGGAGGAAGGGGAACGGAAGGCAAGCCCATTCCAGGGTTTTGATTGAGAGGTTACAAGATTTCCCTTGCCCAGTTCCAGAATCCTCAGCAGTTCTGTGAAATGTTTGTGTTTGTAGTTGACGGCAGCAACTCGTTTTCCGCGCTTTTAAATTATTCCAAGTTCATTTATGAATATTTCATTTTTCGCTAACTAATTGATCTTGAGCATCTGCATTATGGATGTAGCAAGATGTAAGATTAGTTTTGTCACCGTCGTGTTAGAGAATTTCCAAAGCTTTCAGGGCTGATTTTGTGTTTCTTCCTTGACCGCCAGATTGCGCACGGCTTGCCAGTTTAACGTACCTGCCCACTGTGCAGGATACCAGGTTAGGTGCTGGGCGTAACAGAGAGTCGGGACTAGGGCTCTGCCTGCAGGGTGTCTCCCGTCTGCGGGGAGAGAGACTCACTGCGGCAGAGTCGCGCACCCTCTGGCACATCTCCGAGGAGAGGACACTGGGTGTCCTGCTGTGTGTGCTGAACCCCAGGTTCGGGGCACAGTTGCCTGCAAGACTGCTGACCCCAGCCACAAGCTTGGGAGTCCCCGGGGCCACCCTTACTCGAACCAGCTAGCTGCAAATTTGGGGGACCCCAACGACTCCCTCCAGTTCTGTAATTTGCTAGAATGATTCACAGAACTCAGAAAAGCACTATACTTACGATTACCATTTTATACAAAAAGTGGAGAGGTCAGAACCGGCCAGAGGGAGAGATGCATGGGTCAAGTCTGGAATTGGGAGGGTTCTAGATGTGGAGCTTTTGGTCTCTTTCTCCCTCCTTGGAGTCCTGGATGCTCTTGCCTTCTTCCTGCTATATTATGTGACAGGACTCGAGTATTCCCAATCAGGGATGCTCACCCCAGCCTTCGGTGTCCAGCTCGATGACACACTGCCCACGGGGCTGGCCTTTAGTCCCTCGCTCCTCCCGTGGGTTCAGATGAATACCTCTGTTCTCTGGTTCCTCCAGAGGTCAGAACTGCTCTGACTTGTCGAAGAGCCCCGTCATAAATCACGTTGTTCGACTGTCGGTGGCCCCAGCCCCCGGGCAAACAGGCATTCCTATCAGGCAGGACCTTCTGGGGCCCTAGAGGTCACCCCCGATAGCTGAGGGCAGAGGCCAGACCACTCTGGGTAAGGTTCCTCCTTCACCACACCTGCATCCTTGGAGCCTTTCAGAGGAGGAAGGCTGATCTGCCCAGTAGGATGCAGAGGCCTTCTCGGAAGTTGGGCCCGGGCCACGGACTTCCATAACCTGTTTCTGCAGCTCAGCCGACGTGACGTGCGGCAGGTGTCTGAGGGCCTCACCACTGATTCTGCTCCTCCGCTCCTCATTGCTGCTTCAGTAATTTGCGCAAGTACATGCCGTTGTGCAGAGTAACAGGAGAGAAGTCTCAATGACTGTGAGGTCAGCCGTTTGTCCTTACTCTGTACATTCCTCTCCTTGCCATCCGCCCCAGCCTCCCATAGCTGTCGGCTGGGCCTTGGGTCTACACAGCTGTTGTTTTCTCCTGTAAAATCTGGTGCAGGCAGTGGGATCCAAGAGTCTCGTGCCCTTGTTCGTCTCATCTGGTCTCTTCTGCCTTCCTGTTGTTAAGTACCTTTCCCTCCCCTGTTCCCACACCCCATCTCCAGCACGCCCCTCGACAGAGCGGGGAGCCAGTCACTGCACTGTGCTGGCTGCCCTGGCACAGGAGGGTTCTGGTTTGGCTCTCTCGGTCATTGTTGACCGTCCCCCCCTTGGCCCTGCACCTCTGCAGGAGCTCTGCCCCTGCAAGCCCCCCACCTCTTCCCCCATTCTGGTGTATGATCTCCCTGAGTTCTTGGGGACCCCGCGTCAAAGCAGGCTCCTTTGTCCAGCCCCCACATTGTCACGCCACTCTTTCCCTTCAGACTCTGCTCCAGAACCTTCCTGCCTTCCTCTCTCCTCTGGTCTTCCTGTCTGATTTGGGAGCACAACGATCTACTGAAAGGGTCCTCATGGGAGTAGCAGTGGGCAGCGTGCATGATGATTTCCTGTGCGGACCGGTAGCCTTAGAGAGAGCAGGGAGGAGCCCTGAAGACATCATCATTCTGTACGTGACCATTTTCCCAGGATGGTGCTGGAACCCAAGACCCCTTCTCCTCTGCTGCTCAGATTTGGAGGACTGCTGAAATGCGGTACCTCAGCAGACAGGCCGCTAACACGGGCTATCAGCCAGACGGTGCTGGCTTCCTGCTTGCAGTGTCTTGGGGTACCTGTCAGGTCACGTCATCTGAGACCACGCCACTCCACCTTCACACACACAACAGCACGATGCTCCCCGACCTTGCTCACCCATCTTAATTCCCACCTTCATTCTGGAGATGAATGCTTTAAAAATGAGTGCTAATTAAGAAGAAATACAAGTTGAAAAATGATTTGAAACTTGCTTTAGAGCAGCTCTGAGCACACCGTTGAACTCACTAGGCCACTAGGAAACTCGAAAAATACTGCTACTGTCTTTAGTCCTGTAATTGGTAGACTTAGATTGTAATTATTTTTTCTCTGTTTTATCAGAACAATTTGGCTGTAATAATTATGATGCCTTGAAATAATCTGAATAGTTGTATAGCTCATTAAGAGCATGAAAAGCGAAGCAGCCCTTTGCGAATCCTTTGTGAAGAAGTCCTTAAGCACTTTCTGAGAACGGGGTGTAAGTGGAGTCAGTGGTTCACTAGGGGTCTGATTTGTGAACCCGGGGGCTGCTGGTCACAGTTTAGAATCATCCCCACTTTATGAGAGAAGATGTGCAAGCGTTCTTATCAAACGGGTATTTTTAAATCAGCATATTAGGAAATCGGTAACATGATAGCATGTAGATGCAGCAACACGAGCACTAAAGATACTGCTTGTAGCTGTTAATTTCCGCAACTGCTTCAGACTTTCCGTTTTTCATAAAACGTGAAACTGAACACATTCGCACATTTGGAAGTTGGGCGCGTGCCCGGCACTGTCGCCGCGTGTAACTACCTCGTGCCCTCTTGTTTCCTTGGTAGAGTTTTCGGTCATGAAGAGGAAGAGAGGCAGGCCCAAGGGCTCCACGAAGAAGCCCAGCCCCGAGGAGGAGCTGCTGGTAGAAAGTGCCGTGGGTCCGAGCGAGGACAGCCCGCTGGCCCCCGAGGAGGGCAGCGGCCTGGCTCCCAGCAGCTTGGAATGCAGCAAGTGCTGTCGGAAGTTCTCCAACCCGCGCCAGCTGAGGAAGCACATCTGCATCATCGTGCTGAATTTGGACGAGGAGGAGGGAGAAGCAGGTATGATGCCTGAGGGCCGAGTGCGTCCGTTTCCTAGGAAGACACGTAAGTACCGACGGCAGGCTTTGCTGGGTCAGTTACTACGGGGAAAGAGAGCATTGTTACACAAGTCTCACCTCTCTGGAAAAGTTCCTCATTTTGACCGTAAGTCATCTCTGAATTGAGGGTGTCGTGTGATAGGTGGTGCCCACAGAGCGTGAGTCACGGGGGTGCCGCTGTGGGCCTCTGGGGTTTGCAGAGAGGGTGAGACGTGAGCTTACGTTCTGGGGGGGACAGGAGGGTTGGACAGCACAGAATGTGAGCAGGGAATAAGCCCTCGGCAATGGGGAGTCAGGAGGGAACCTGGTGTCGCGGTTTGGGTGGCCCTGGGATTAGCAGAGGGAGGACGTCTCCGTGGGCGGACGGGGCTCTGTGAGCACAAGTGCGGACGTTAGGATGCTCAGCGCCCCCATGAGGGACCTTGATGAGCCAGCGGAGGCCGAGGGCTAGGTTGTGGCGGGCATTCTGGAAGCAAATGGAATATTGGTGCTTCTTCCACATACGATCCTGGCTAGGCTTTAGCTCTGCAGCCACTTCTAAAAGAGGCTGAAGGGGGTGCACAGGTGAGCGGGGAGTGACATCACCGTGGCAGAGCGCGTCTCCTGGGCGACCTTCTTGGGGGAATAAAGTAGCACCACTGTCCTGGAGAGGGGAGGGCCTCTGCTGTGGGCTCTGCTGTCGTCTGGTTCTCGTGCCACTGGTGAAGTGCTCAGACGGCCCGACAGTTGAAGTTCTTACTGTGCTTTGTGCTGGGCTCAGGACGTCACGTGGGAGACCGTTCTGGTTAAAACACAGGCTTTGGGATATGGCTTCCTGGGTTTGAATTGCAGCTGTTCCAGCCGTTACCAGCTTCCTTCTGCCTCCGTTTCCTCATCTGTAAAATGGGAATAAAACCCAGCACTATCTCATCTGGTTGCTTTGAGGATTAAATAAGGCAGGACTTACAAAGTGCTCAGAAGGGCACCTGCGTATGAAAAGCACTCAACAAATCAGTGTTAGCTGTCACTTTCCTCGCAGCCGTATGGAAACAGTACTGTTGTCCTCCTTCCGGTTTTATAGATAAGGATAGTTAGACCCTGGGAAGTCAGGTCATTAGTCCAGGGTCCTTCAGTTAGCAAGGGGACCTAGCCTTTGAACCTCCATTCTCAAGTTCTTTACGATAAATACCTCCCAGCGGTGAAGCAAGACCATTGGTGTGCAAAATCCTCGCACAGATTGGGGGGATAATTGAGCAACTCATCCCCTGATACTTACCAGACATCTAGGTTGGTGGCCAAGGCTCATTGCCAACATCTGTGCAAACTGTAGAAAATATGAAATGTTGTTCTTTCCTTTGAAGAACTGCTCTCAAGGTGACTACGTGAACCCTTTCTAGGCTGCATGGGCGAATGCGCATCGTGGACGAGCATTCAGACGAGAGAAGTCAGCGAGAAGGCAGCTGTCCCATGGCAGAGCGTGAGTCATTGCTGTGTGAGACACGTAGGTAGGGAGTGCCGTGGCCTCAGAGCCCGATGCCCTTTTGGCAAATTAAGATACTTTTAAAAGTGAGATGGTTGAGGGAAGAAGGACTAGGACATACCTCCCTGCCCCTGAAGTGCTAATTTCTGGTGGATGTGTCAACCACTGGCTCTAGATTATGGAGTTGCCCCCCACGCCAGGCACACCCCCTACTCTCTTCTTCTCACGCAGATAGTTAATGGTGGTTGCCTTTTGTTTGTTTATTAAGTTTTTTACTTTAATCCCAGTATAGTTAACAGTATGATACTAGTTTCAGATGTGCAATACAGTGATTCAGCAAATCCATACCTCACCCGGTGCTCATCACAAGTGCCTTCCTTCATCCCCATCACCTAGTTCCCCTATCCCCCATCCACCTCCCCTCTGGTCACCATCATTGTGTTCTCTAGAGTTAAGGGTCTGCTTCTGTTTGTTTTTTCTCTTTTTTCCCCTTTGTTTTGTGTCTTAAGTTCCACATACGAGTGAGATCATATGGTGTTTGTCTTTCTCAGACTTAACTTCACTTAGCATAATACTCTCTAGCTCCATCCATGTCATTGCAAATGGCAAGAGTTTGTTCTTTTTGATGGCTGAGTAATATTCCATTGTATACATAGACCACCCCTTCTTCCTTTTTTTTTATTCTTATGTTAATCCCCATACATTACATTATTAGTTTTAGATGAAGTGTTCCATGATTCATTGTTTGTGCATAACACCCAGTGCTCCATGCAGAATATGCCCTCCTCAATACCCACCACCAGGCTAACCCATTCTCCCACCCCCCTCCCCTCTAGAACCCTGTTTGTTTTTCAGAGTCCATCATCTCTCATGGTTCGTCTACCCCTCCGATCTCCCCCGCTTCATTCTTCCCCTCCTGCTACCTTCTTCTTCTTTTTTTTTTTCTTAACATATATTGCATTATTTGTTTCAGAGGTACAGATCTGAGATTCAACAGTCTTGCACAATTCACAGCGCTTACCAGAGCATATACCCTCCCCAGTGTCTATCACCCAGTCACCCCATCCCTCCCACCCCACCCCCCACTCCAGCAACCCTCAGTTTGTTTCCTGCAATTAAGAATTCCTCATATCAGTGAGATCATATGATACATTAGACCACCCCTTCTTTATCCGGTCATCTGTCCATGGACGATTGGGTTGATTCCGTAGTTTGGCTATTGTATATAATGCTGCTGTAAACATAGGGCTGCATGTATCCCTTTGAATTAGTGTTTTTGGATTTTTTGAGTAAATACCCAGCAGTGTGATTACCGGATCATAGGGTAGTTCTGTTTTTTAACTTTTTGAGGAACCTCCGTGCTGTTTTCCAGAGCGGCTGCACCAGCTGCATTCCCCGTGGTGGTTGCATTTTAATCAGAGGCGCCAGCTGTAGCCTTCAGAGCTGCTCCGTGTGTACCTGCCTGAGTCCCGAGAATCCGAATCTCCCTGCTCATTCAGTGCTGTCTTCTTGCGGATCTGTTTTGTTTTTGTGCCTTCACATGATTTATCCCATCAGACTCCCTGTGGGAGACTCCTGGGCTTTTTTACAGCTACGGTTGGAAATCAGGGATCTCTTTTGCAAAACATTCCCGCTGCTTCTTCCTCCAGAGGTCAGACCTGGATCTAACTTGGATGCAGCCTGAGACGTTCACTCAGATCTATGGATGTTCTGCACTGCCCTCAGGGTTTTCTTCCTGAAACAAAGTTTTTCAGTGTGTCCCCTTCAGAGTAAAGTACAAAGTCTGCTCCTGGGCATTCAAGACCCTCAACAAAAGGATCTTTCCATTTAGCTCTATGGCATTATTTTTCTGTCTTATTGTTTGCAGTTGATGAAATTTAAGTTATTTCCAGTCTTTTGCTGTTGTGAGTATTGCTTTAATAAATGCTTCTGTATGCATATATGTGTGTATGTGTTTGTGGGTGTGTATACATACCCATGTACATGTGTATTTGTAGACTTCCACTGTTATTTTTATAGAAGTAACTCCCAGAAGTATAACCCCTGGGTCAGAAAGTATATTACATAATGTCAAGTTTCCCCCACCCCGAAAGCTCAAGCCAATTCAGATTCCAAAAGTGTCTGAGAGTGCCTATTGGATATTGACATTTTTTTTCTTTTTAATACCTGAGATGATACAGAAAATACTAAGAAGAAAGTAACAATAATCCAGAATCTCACTGCCTAGGTGTATCGACTCACTGTATAAGAAAGAAGAAAGATCCTGCTCAGTTCTATGTACATGTATGTTTTTTAGAAATGGGGTCATGCATCATGTTCTGTGATCTTGTTTCACTCACTAATGTGGCCGATAAAGTTTTCATGTCAGTATTTTTTATTTAACAAGCTGTTCCATTGCACTTTCTGGATATCACCATCTTACGGCTGTTAGCTCATTAAGTCACAGCATTAGTGACTGAGTGCTGTATGTAGGTATGCAGCTCTAAGAAGTAGGCACTGGTGTTTTCCCACTTTACAGAAGAGGAAACTGAGGCACAGAGAGGTTCAGGAGCTTGCTGAGATCACACAGCCTGTAAGCAGTGGGGCTGGGTTCTGAACCTACTGCAGTTCAGCAGCTGTGCTCTGCTTCCTGACCCCAAACAATCAGTAAATGTAGATTATTGTCATTTTTAAAGGCCACCCTGCATTTCACCATATGCACAGGCCGTGCATTTTCCTTCATCAGTTTCCAGTCGATTGACATTCACGATTGCTTTTAATTTTTCTCCCTGATATAAAAAAAAAAAAAAAACAAAAAAACACAAACCACCTCTCAGGTGACTGGTCTTAAGCCTGCATTTTAATTTTATTATTATATTTACCCTCATGCTATTATTATCTTAGGTAAATACCTAGTCATGTAATTGCTGGGCTGATAAGAGCATATATTATATTTTGACATGCCCGCACGTTTCCAGGCTGCCCTGCAGACAGCATCTGTCGCTTACTTCCCCAACATCGGCTCCTACCCGCCCTGGTCCTCTTCATCCTGCGCTCTGTCAGTCCTTAGCCCTGCCAGGCCCTTCTGGTAGCGATTTCTTTTCATTACTTGAATTGGCGTCTGTGTGGTCATGAGCAGACCCTCTGGTTACGGAGTTACCGGGGATCTGTGTTCTGTGTGTAATTTGGGGTGTCCGCCTGTGCCCTTTACTGCACCTTTGGGTCACTGTACAGAAAGTATTTTCCACAGTTTATCATTTGTCTTTTCATTTCATCTGTAGCCTTACTTTGTTTCCTTTTGCACTTCACTGAGTCTTAAGTATCTGTCTTGTCACTCCCGTCGAACGTTCCTTTTAGATTTCTTGCCCTTTTCGTCATAGCTGAGAACACTTAGCTGTGCCCCCAAATAATAAAATACATGCTTCCATCTATTCCTCTGTGATTTGTATGGTTCCGTTTACTACCCGTGTCTTTGATCCATCTGGAAATCATGGTTTTGTGAGACTCATAAAGTAAGATAGTTCTGTCGGTAAACACGGGCAAAGGAGTTACCTTAATAAATGCAATTTGGGAGATAAACTATTTCAAGTCCTAGGGTCCGCAGAGAAAATAATAAGGGTCTGGCCCAAAGTCTAAGGAAAACCCTTTAAAAAGTAAAACTTCATATTTTGAAAATAATTACAGATTCACAGGAAGTCGTGAGGATTGTGTAGAGGAGTCTGGGGCCCTTATTTCTGTTTCCCCCAAGGGGTGCATCATTCGTAGCTGTGCAGCACGATATCAGAACCCGGCACGGATGGTGACACGCGTGTGTGCAGTTCCGTGTCACATCACGCGGGGGACACGTGCTCCTGCTGCAGAATCGCCCCCCCCCCCACCCTCGGCAACCAGAGGTCTGTTCTCCAACTCTGTAATTGGGTCATTTCAAAAATCTTGTATCCATTGAATCGCATGGTATGTGACCTTTTAAGATTGGCTGAGAAAACTCCCTTTTCAGACTCACTCTCATAGTTTTACAGTCAAGGAAGTTGAAGTCCAGAGGTGGTGATTATCCAGAGTATGGATAATCCAGAGTCTCACCCAAGGTAGGGTTGGGGTGCGTGCAGCCCACACCTGCGTCCCGCCCCGTGGCCAGCCCCGCTGTGCCTTCAGACCAGTCTCATTTCCGCCTCATGGATGTAGATTTTATTCATTTCTGTGTACTTTTGTCAGCTTTTTTGCTAACCTTACAAGAAACGAAGGTCCCGCCCTGCGTGGCTCTGATGTTTATTTTCTACTCTGTAGCTCGTGAGGCGGTGTCTCCAGAAAGGGCAGACGGGAGCAGCTCTTTCTAATAAGATTATCAGCTGCCTCCAGTAATAAGCTGTAGAGAAAATGGCCGCGTATCCCACTGATTTGAATGACCTTAAAAGGACTTTAACAGATAGCAAATGGAAAGGTAGAAACTCTGGCGTTTTTCCCTTTCTGGGCCCTGTGGAAGCCTCTAAAATATGCAGAAATGACCTTGTGCCCAATTGCCTTGTGGCCGCCGTCTCTGCAGTCGCTCCACACTTCCCAGTTTGCCAAGCACAACATTACAATTTGGAAAATTCTTGCATAATTGTTTTAATACATGGGTGGTAAAGAGCGGTTTTGTGACATTTCAAACAATTGACCTTGACTCTCTAGCTTGTTAAAACAATTAAAAGGAAACAACATAAGCCTTTCCCAACGCTGAACCCTGGCAAGTTAAAATAATACTTTTGATATGTGTTCAACGTTTATTTATTTTATTCTGCATTTGAATAGTAAAAGAAATCATTTTGTGCCATTATGTGGAACAGCTGGTGTTTCTGAAAAAACCCTTTGCAGCCTATAGAAATCAATATGTCAACTTTATAAAAGTGACTTCTGAACCTTCCCAAGCTTGTTATTTCTGGGGTCAGTTTTGGCAAGGAGAGTTGCAAAAATTGGCTCTTATTCTTGTTGAATCTGTCCTAAAGAAGACAAGGCATTCTAAGATCTACCTAAGATGCACC